AGAAAGAGAGAGAGAGAGAGAGAGAGAGAGAGAGAGAGAGATGCTTCTCCCCGTGAACAGACCCCTAGAACTTCCAAACACAGGCTCACCTTTTCCCTTCCCCAGACCCTAATGAATTATTTGCTTACATAATTTTATCTCCATAACATAAATCTTCTGCACACAGGAGCTTAGGGAGGGTATTAGCAAAGCACCCACTTTACAAATGAAGACAAATCTGCTAGGAGTTAAGTAATAGAAAGTGCCCATATCCATGTAAACTAGTACTGATAGAGATCCATCAAACTCTCAAACTAATCTCCCCAAATCTTTATGTAGCCATCTCTGATCTAAAGCTACATGTACTTCACCTCCAAGCCAGTTTCACTTATAGCTAAAAATTCTCAAAGAAATTTAGAAGTTTTACCTTTGCAAAAATATGCAAATTATCCTCCTGTATGTGTGCTTAATTTAAATCTGAAACCAAAGAATTATGCCTGTGTGGCTGGACAGAGAGCCCACTAGCTCAAGAAAAATGGTAAGGAGCAAAGCGATTCAGACATCTTTTGGGGAGAAGGCACTGATTTTGCTCCAGCATTTGGGGAGTCTGTACACATTTCTGGGAAAACTTCAGCTAAGCCAGGGCTCTGTAACAGTTATCAACCAGACTGCTATGAGTCACCCAAGTCCCATGCAAAGAGGCCTCTGTGATTACAGCCAAAGGTTATACACACGGCTTGTGGATGGATTAGCAGACATTTGCTCTGCCTGTGTCCACTTATTTACAAAGTCCTGAAGGATTATAGACTAAAGTGCAATTCTTGTCTATTTTGTAATAGCTAATGCGTTCAGGATAATTCTCTGATCTCCCCTTGGGAGGGTAAGAGGAAGCAAACTGAAAATGAAAAAGTAAAGGAAAAAAGTTTGAGCATCCAGGAAAGGAAAAGAACTCTAGGATTGTAATACAAAGCAGGAGAGTAGATTTCTGGAAACAAGAAAAATGGGGTGATAAAGAGATTATTGATTAGAAGAGTAGAAAGAAGAACTTTCATGGTATTTGGAAAGCAGTTGCAACACGTAAAGCAGATAAAGTACCTGCCAGAGAGTTTTCAAGTAAAATTATTCATTGGTGATATTAATTTAAAAATATGACTACCAACCAAGAAACCAGAGGCTGTGGGTCATAAATAGAATATTTAAAGTGCATTACACTGATTAATTAAAGGATTCTGATTACCTTGCTGAATAGAAAATTTCATACCAAGATGTCTGATGTGCTTATATCATTAACAAGCCAAAAACATATCCAAAAGAAAATCAAACCATGTAATCAGACAAACTTTTGGAACACTTTGGAGGCCATTGGTTCACGTTTCCAGTACATAGGTTACCACCAGGAACCAATATGAAGCACCTTTGTTGTTTCCATGAGATTTCATCTCAGTTTGCTTTCTCTCTAGATACTGTCTACTCATCTTGGAAAAAACTTTATATCATGACGTCCCTTAATTACTCAACCATTTATTGCATCCAGTAATTAAACATTAATTCCTATATTTATTCTTTTTTCCATCATTTTTAAAGTGACCGTCTAGTAAATGCTATTTTGTTTACTTCTTAAGACTCATGTCCCTGTCATTCCTGGGGAGGTCTCTCAAATGCCAGCCAGCACATTTTACTTTGCCTTACAAAATATGCTGTTGTTTAAATGAATAAACATAATTTTACCTGGAGTCTTTTGCTTTTGATTTTTATTTATTTATTTGTTCCTTTTGTTTGTTTGTTTTGGTATTAAAATTGGAACCAGGTCTTTCTACATGACAGGCAAGCTACATCCCAATCCTTTTTTAAAAAATTTTATTTTGAGACAGTCCTGCTCAGTCACTAACTGCCCAGGCTGGGTGTGACCTTGGGGTCCTTCCAGAATGCTGGGACTACAGCTACCAGCATATGTCCCTGAAACTGGTTGAAGATTTTATGACTAAGCTTAAAGTATCTTGAAATAGCAACCTGACGATTCTCCAACTTTAAGAAATTACTGTCAAGTGCTGGTGAAACACAGAACCCACAATTTGAACATATGCTCAGGGGACTGACTTCCAATTCTGTGCTCCATGGGCTGCTTGGAACTGGATCCAGAGCTACCAGGAGAAGCAGAGAATCATTTTCAGACTTCTTTGGACACAATAGCTTTATTTTCTCCCACTCACTAAATCTATATTCGTGTATAGATTACAAACTATCGATCATATTCATCTACTTTTGACTACTAGTATATTTATTAGGGTGTAGATTTGGGGAAATAACGTTTAGATGTTAAATGGGCTTCTTAGCCAGCTAAGTTCTGAGTTACCATTCCAAAAATGATAGTATGATTTTTGCATTATTTTAAATGTATTGTATTTAGAATTAAAATCTAACTACTTTTTTCAATGCCATAAAAACACTATAGTATGTTTTAAAGGAAAAAAATGGTGACTAAATCATCTATTAACCTTTTTCAGGATAATCACATGTTGAATTCAGATTCACATTATTAATTACATAAGAAAATTTAAAGTAACATATCTGTTATAGTTTTAAACATTGTCATTGGTTTTATACAAACCAAAGTAACTGAAGATGAAGAATCCCACCCTTTCAAAGTAAACAAAAATAATGCTTCCCAATCTGTATGCTAGTTACTGAGGTTTATTAGGCTAATGCTTACAATTTGTATACTTTTTTGCCTAGAGCTTTTCAAGCATGCTTTAAAAAATATCAAACAGTAGCACATAAGAATTCAGCAGTCTTCAATGGCCAAAAGTTCTGCTTTTAGTTAATAAATACTCAAAGGATTTAATCCAGCTACACGTCCTTCAAGGCCACACAGAATAGGACTTATTCTTCAGAACAATTTGAAAAAGAACTCAGAAACTAACACACTAGGTGTAGGCTTTCTGCTCTACACTATTTCAAAAGCACTCCTTTGTGAGTTAAGAAATTGATAAGACCACTTAGGTCTACAATGCTCAGCCAGCAACCAGGCTGCTATTTATCACTTCCATTCCAAACGTTGGTATTAAATTGGTGATTAGACTGGAAGTATGTGAAAAAGAACTGAAGTAATATCAAAGAGAGATGACACTCTAACCTGAATTAAAGAGACAGAGTTTTAGACTCACGGTAAATGGGTTGTGTTTCTACACACACATGTACACACACACACCAGTGATATCCTGCAACCCTGAAGATATGGTCCCAAGTCCTGGTATTTCTGTTCAGACACACACCTAGCACAAAGAACACTGGAACTTTCCTTTTGTTTCTCAGGTTCTGTGATTTGCTGTCTCCTAATTGAAAGCCACTGCCCATAGTTCTAAAACTGTAAAAATGCACATTAGAGTAAAGGAAGATTTAGCTTTGGGAGAACCATAGGAGTCAACTTGCATTGACAAGAATTTAAGACACTGTTTCTTCTTAACCAGGGGTGATGACACCATTATAAATAGCAGGGAATAAAATAAAACTATTTCCTAAGAGCCGGAACCTCAAAGTTCTTTTGTAATAACCTCAAAGCTTTCACAAGATCCTGGTACTCTGGCTACACAGAATTGAGAACAGACAGTCTTTCGGAATCTGGGTCAAATAAATTACCCAGAGCTTTGGCCCTGAGTTATTTTGCATTAGACATAAATATAAGTTTTCAAAATACCTTTAAAATGTGCTTAGCATTCAAGACTTTTGCTAACTAACCAGTTGTTCACTAAATAAATTCTTTCACTAAACAGACTCATAATATAGAAGCAATTTAATTACATAGTATATCATTTTTTCTTTTTAGCAGAGTACCCATCAAAATTTTTTTTAAAAACATAGACACTTCCTTTGTCTTTCAGTCAAAATAACAATGCCAATTTATTGCGAAGCTCGTAAGTACTAACTGTAAGCACAGAAACTCGTCTTAACTATTTTACTTACTTCCTTGAGTCTTGATTATCCTGGACTACTGAATTAGTACAAAAATATATACCATTAGCATTTTGTCTGGAAATGTATGGAACTAGTGATTTATATATATGAACAGAAGGCATCTATACACATGAAAAGTAATTGTATACACTTTTACTGCTAAATGCTACACATGATACTGTCTCATCTATTTATTTAAACAGAAGTGATGTTAAGTAGGGTGTTTATTTGCGGTCTGCTCACCAGATGGCCAAACTACTCAAGTTCCCTCATTAACTAGTTGATTTGGAAGTTAGAATCAGCATGTTGTTTATTTCCGATTTCTTAAGCGTGAATTCCAGGGAAATCCTCGATAAAAGGATTTCTGTGCTAATTTTTGTTTTCCTTAGTTTTGCATCCGATCAGATATTCTGCACTTCTACAATCTTGATCTATAATTGTAGTTCAGAAATTGAAGTTAACTTTTTAGTTTTTCTGAATTTAGCTTTTGTGTTTGAACTAAAACTCATTAAAATGATGAAGATCATCAAGGTGCCTGCACTATAACTCCTTCTCTTAATTAATCTTCAAATGGAAGAGAAAAGATTTCTTTTCATTCACATGGACACTGAGATGATATATCTTTAAGTGGCTGCTAATAGAGAATTAACAATCACAATGTCTAGAGTAGGTCTCAATTGTCTGTTTCAATCATAATCTAAAAATATTTTATTAATCTGTATCATTACAGTCAGAAGAAAAATTAGAAACACACAATGCATTACTAAATATGGTTGTTCAGGATTTCAAATTCTAAGCACAGGACAGAAAAAGAAAAGAAATATATTTAATATATTTGCTTATATATACTCTGTATTTTATATATAGTATACATAAGTATGTGATACATATCAGTCTATAAGCATTTCAATTTAAAAAGAATGAAGAGAGAAAAATTAAGAGATACAAATATGTGTTAATTAAATGCTTAATCAATATGAGCTACTGGTTTACAGTAGGTGACTAAAGCTTTGTGCTTTTTAAAAAGATTCATTTTATATCCATTTTACAATTACACCTATATTTTTTACCTTGTTTATAAGATGCCAAAACCATATTCTCATCTTCAACTTCAAAAACTGTGTCCACATCTATTTGCCTTTTGATTAAAATAGCCTTCAGTTTTCCAAAGTCATTTGACTTTAGAGCCTCAAGGAAATTTTTCTTAACTAGCTTGGCAGCTCCAGATTTAGTGATAGGGGCGGTGGTGTCGTCCATCCTCCTGTCCCTCTGGAAGTTGTGTCGTGATTGTTCAGAGGAGCAACGCCGAGCAGACAGGCTAGAGAGTCCACAAACTGTCGGCTAATTTTATCCCAAAGTTATGCTGATCCGTTCTATTTATATAGGGATCATTTCAAACTTCAAAATATCCTTCTTGACTGTCACTGCATTTTCATGTCCCTTAAACTGAGTGTATATCAGCTGATTCATTCAGTAACACACAATGTTGATAGGAAGGGAAGCTCTCACAATACATTAACAAGCATGAAATGTCATTGTTACTTCTTTTATGATCAGAGGAGTAATATAAGATTTAAAAGCTCCTACTGCCCTTTTTTTTCTTTCCTCATTAAAACCCTCTGGTGCCTGGCTGGACACCCAGTGTCTCACTCTGACTCACAAAGACAAAAATGAAAATTTTTCTGGTTGTCAATACAAGTGCTCCTGAAAATCTGTAATAATTTTGTAATACAAATCAGTGACATCAAGACTGATTACACATATTTGAACAGAAACAGAATCTTTTTGAGTGACCTAAACTTGAAAATTTTTTGATGTTATGAAAAAGGAGGTGAGACAGAGGTTGGGGGAGTGTTTTAGGGAAAAAAACAGCTAATGCAAAAAGTATATGAATTTTATTATTCCAAATTACTTAGAAAATATTGCATTGAGACAATATGGAAATATAAACATGGGCTTGTTATTATTACCTGAATATTATCAGGTAATAACCATAATACTTTTATCATATCTTAAAAATCAATAATTCCATAATATTACCTGTTAGGTAATAATTAAGGGATGATAAAAGGCATTAGGGTTATATACAAAAATATTCTTTATCTTAAGTAATATAGTAAGAGATAAATTGTCATGATGTCTAAAACTTTTTTTATAGTTGTGAGGATCAAACCCAGTATCTTGCATAGCATATACCTAACCTTTGAACAGCCCCTCAAATAGGACTTTAAAACAAGATAATAAGAAATCAACAATGGCTGCTAAAAATAGTTCACATATACAATACATTGGTAGGTAAGGAAGGGTGTGAGTGTGGGTGTGTAGGTATGTAGGTGTGCATACATATGTGTGCATGTGAAGAGAGACAGAGAAAGTGTGAAAAAAGTTAATAGCTGTGAATCTAATGAAGGATATATGGTTGTCTATCATATTATTCTTTTTTAATTAAGAGAATAAAACTAAACAATATGAAACAGAATACAGCCAATTAAAACAAAACAGTGAAAGCAATACAGAACTTCAAAACAAGATAATAAGAAATCAACAATGGCTGCTAATGCTATGTTATTCTTTCACCTTTTCTAGAAGTTTGAAATTTTTCAAAATAAAAAGAAGAAAAAATGTATAGTCAATTTTTTGTTTGTAGCCATTAAAAATAGAAAAATGATAATAAATGCTAACAATAGTACCAAGAAGTCACATTTTATATATTGTTGGTAGGAGCCAAAATTGATGTAAACTTTCTGCAGAAAAATTAGCAACATGAATATTTTAAACTTCAATTATTAGAATTTAAGTATGTAAACATGGATGCAAATTACAATGTAGTTTTTCACTTATTAAATAAACATATAAATAAAATACAAGAAAGCAGCAAATTCTAAGTACTGTGTAACTAAATTGCAGGTCAAGCAATAGAATTGCTTAAGTTCATTTGAAGTCCCCTTTATGTCCTCTTCCAATCAAAACACTGACTTACATCCCAGTAACACCCATTGTCATGATTTCTAATAATATAAATTAGTTTTACCTATTTTGTACTTTAGTTTTAATTTTTAGTATTTAAAATTTTTGTTCATTTATAAAATTTTTGTGTTTTCTAATTTTTAAAAATAGCAACAGTATCAATAGCAACATACATACAAATGTTTCAATTAGAATTTGATCCCTTAAAGTCTGTTCTGTGACATACTGCTTTTGTGAAACTGTACAGAGGCTCTTAGGGAGCAGTTTACAAGTCTGTCTAGAAGTGTAATTTCTTTTTTTAAAAATGCCTATTGAGTACCAATGCTTTCAAGATACTCGCAAAACAGCAGTTTTGGTAGAATTTAGCATGCTAATGGATTTCAGTAGTGATGGATGTCCCTGGATCTTTTGCATCTCCTATCCACTAAAGCTTGTCACAAAGCTGTAAATTCATTGTTTATATCCAATAATGGATCTGATCCCCCTCTTAATTATTCCAATCTTAATTTAGGGCAAAAGTTTAATTTTGCTTTCATTGTATATGGTTAGTCCATTCAAATATTTAACAATCTCTAGGAAGTAATCAGCTTTGGGATAAAATTCTTTGAGATTTCTGACTTTTGTCTTCCATAATAAAGGATCTATATTGAGTACTGTGAAACAATACTCAAAATACTAATATTAGCCAGGTGTGGTGCATGCCTATAAGCACTGGGAAAGCTGAGACTGAAGGATCTCTGTGAGGTCAAGTCCAGCCTGGGCTACACAGTGAGTTCAAGGCCAGCCTGAACTAAGTAGTGAGACACTGTCTTAAAAAGAAAAAAGAAATCTAGAAACTTAATATTTAACAATGAGTATTCATTAGAAGAAACATTTGCCATCCCTTACCAGTATGGGCAGACTAGTATGAACCAGGTGGATAAGAGAATCCTCAGATGGACTCATTGTCCTGTGGACCCTCCTGATTCCCATTACAGAGAGACAAAATGGCTTCACACTGACTCAAATTGTTTTGGCTCTATTCAGAGTTCTGACTCCCATTAGCACTGGAGTACGTGATCTTGGTCACTTGCCTCTAATTCTGACGCCCTGACTTATCTCAAATCACATAGCTATGTCAGTTCAATGTACACTCCAAAGCTGTGAGCCCTCTCTTTAGCCACATCACTCCTCTGGGGTCCTCACTCTATATACAAGTACCATGACCAACCAGTAGCTTTCTATTGCCACCTGTTAAGGCCAAAGTGATCATAGAACTAAATGAAGGACTGGAGTTCTGCGAAAAGTCTGCATTTTCTCTGACACCAGGCCACTAGCTTCATCATCCTTAGAATTCTTCCAGTATATCTCATAGTTTCTAAACCACCATACCCCAACAAAGTGCAACCCTTAAAGAAGCGTATAAGGAGGGAAGAGAACATAGCGTCTAATTTCTGGATCACCATACATACATCTCCTCAACCTACTGAGCCTTCCAAGTTCTCTGGGGAGCCAATTTTTGGACTGTGTACTTTCTATGAAACTTTTCCTTTTCTTCCATAGGGCAACAAGCCTGTTAACCCAGGCTTGAGGTCAACCTCAAGATAGAAGATTTTTCATCTTTCTATTATGGAGGAAATATTGCAAGACTGAGTTCAGGGGTGGGTCTTAATATACAAGGAGACCGTGCATTAGGAAAATCTTTCCTCTCCTTCTGCTTCTCCTTCCTCTTCCTCCTCTTCCTCTTCTCTCTATCAATAAGACTGTGCCAGGCTCATGTCTTTAGTACTATACTTGTAATTATTATTCCTCCTCCTTCTTCTCCTTTCTTCTTCTTTTTGTAGTATTGGAATGAACCCAGGGTCATTAACTAAGATGCACTCCTTGTTATGTTTTGTCTTTTGGTTTGTTCATTTTCTTTTTTGAAAGAGGACCTGGCTAAGTCACATAAGTCGCCCGGGCTGAGCTTGAACTTGTCATCCTTCTGTCAGAGTGCTGGGATGATAGAAAGGCACTGTTATACCTGGCATGTTCCTATTTTTAAGTGCTTTATATTGTCTTCCTAAAACATTAGAAAATAAATGAAACTAAACTTCGCAGAATATTCTAAGAAAAAGTAAATTTCCATGAATATATAAAAATTATCTCTATTATCTGCTAAAATTTATCTATTAACCAACTTATCCAAACAGGATAATATAAAACTTAGGGATTAGACACACTTACAAAAACAGCTGTTTAGTTAAATCTCCCATCAAAGCCATTATAATCTATGAGAAGGAATGTGGCCAGTGCTGATAAAGCAGACTTGAGATCCGCCTTTATTATCTAGACCAGAGCTTCAAGTCACCCTCTATCTCAGCCCCAAGAGGCCATGTTCCTCTAGTCAGGACCTCAGAAATTCCTATGTCAGCTCTTAAAAATAAGAACCCTCCATCCTGTGAGATAAGCTTTTTATTAGGGTTTCGTGGCATGCCCAGGAAAATGCCTGTGCTCTTGAAATGGCATGAGTTGCTCTTTGACAAGACAGTAACGTTGCTGTGGATGGCCTGTGAGACCTTCTTGTACTTTCTAGACATCTGCAGCTCAAGCAGCAGACTGCCATCCTCCTTGATGTCTGTGTGCATCACAGCCTGTCCACTACAGTCTCTTCTCTGGAATTTAGACAGGAAGTGGACGCTGCTAGATGCAATTATCAAATGTAACCATAAGGAAGAAATCAAAAGCCAAAGCTTCCAAAACATATTTTCAGGAACCTAGAATTTCTGTGGAAATGGCGTGCTTCAGACCTTTATGACCTTCCCAGTGAATAATTGGACATTTTTGCTATCAGCCTCAGACATGGCTGATAAGATTGCTTGACATCCCTTTCTGTTATATTTAAGTTACTAAGTACCATTGTCCTCACAACATCTCCACCCTGTCTTGTTTACCATTGCTTCAAACATGTTCATCTTAATGCTTTGTATAAAGGTACTCTGGGTTGTAGGTAGACACAGCTGGAGGTGACTTAAATAGCACATAAAAATATTTGTTCACAAAGTAGAAAATTCCAGTTGTAAAAGAGGTTTTAGACAGAGGTCTGATCGAAAAGTTTTTAATATCAGTAAGACTGTGGCAAGCATGTGTCTTTAGCAGTACTCAATTTGTAATTATTATCATTATTTCTAGTATACAGATCAGAAAAATCAAGAACCAAAGTTTTGCTACTTTGTCAGATGGCAAAATCAAGAACCATTTCCCATTTGACATCTACAAAATCAGACAACAAATTAGGAGTACATGTAAGACTTAAGCCTAGCTCTTGAAATTTGAAAATCAATATATCTGTTGCTCAAATAGCATTTTAAACCATTTTGTTTAGATTAATTTTTAAAATTATAT